AAAGCCGCCTAACACCGCGGCGACAGCCAAACGTACTATTCTATTATATTCTGCTCCGGTAATCGTAGAAACACAGGCACAGTAGATAGCTTCGGCTGATGCCATGAATTCATTGATAAATCGCAGACTCATATCTGCGGATGCATGTGCTGTGTTACGTATATCTAAGAAAATAAACAAGCCTCGAAACGAAGAGGGTCGCCGGCAGATACAGAAGGACAGACAGGAAAGGGACCGCCTCTGCAAGGATTCTTATTATTATTAATCTAGACTTTTAAGTAGAGAGGGGGGTTACGTATCTCTATCCCTAACTCCCAACCCCACCGAGTAACCCATACTAAACCCAAGATAAATATCCACCGCGTAACCCCTACTAAACCCAAGATAAATATCCTCTCCAAGGCTACTGCAGGGAAGGGACAGGAAAGGGGTGGATGGCCAGCTCACCCGGTCAACAGGGTCCCTGATCATCGACATGTGCCAGAACGGCTGTCTCGAGTTCCTCGCGTAGTCCGACATGAGGTTGTAGGGGAAGACCTGGTACACCTTAGCGATCTTGCAAGGGGTCTGCTCCCTGTGTGCTCGTCGTTTCGCCTTTTTTTCGAACGACAACAGAGGGATGAAAACACACACACACAAAAAAAAAAAAAAAACGACAAAAAAGAGGTGACGGGGTTCACAGGAGCAAATGTAGCGGCTGGGGCGAGAAAGAAGACGTTTCGTGACTCAAAAGAGACAATATACCAATACGTTGAGCGTTAAAGTTCCTTGAGTTGATTATCACCGGTAGACTCGGGACGAGGCCCATCTTACGCTTGTGCGTGTCTCAGGTTCAAGTCCATTTCACATGATGGTTCTGCAGGAGGTCTCCGAAGAAAGGGTGGTAACACCTCCTTAGTTCGCGCCCAACATGACACTTACGTAGGGAAGGTAATGCAAGTGATGCCTACCAAAGAGCACCACGGAACGAATGATAACACATTGGAACCCCGCACACTTGTACCGTACCATGCTTCCGAGGGAATACAAAGGACGTAACCAACCGTTTGGTACACTAGTACAGGCCACCGTGCCAAAAAGCAACACACAGGAAGAACGCCCACGGTTCCAGGTACATCAATGCGACGGAAGTAACCACCCGTTTTGGTATATTCCAACCGTACCGTGCGATAAACAACGCCACAGCTGTGCTATACCATGCCACACATTACCAGACCGTCCCATATTGAACCACACAAGCTCACAAAATACCGTACCGTAAAACCATATCATCCCCCGTGCGGCTTGCTTACCTTGCTCAAGCTGATGCCGTCGCAAGAGCCCAGGGTGCAAAACCGCTGGAGCAGCAACGGTCCCAGTACCTGCAATCCCGCGGCAAGCGCGCGAAACAAGGGCCCCCATCCCGGTCAAGATTGGGCAAAATTCATGCATATTTGCATGGATAAAGAAGAAAAAAGACATGGTAACGAGGCGAGATCTCCTCCCCGAGGAACGTCTTAATCTCAGATGTTTCTGTCACTCCTACTTTTTACTAGTGTGGCCTGCATCCTGAGCGAATCCCTTGGAATACTTGTTGCCTCAATCCGCGGTACGCAGCACAAGAGTGACGTCACACGTGGGAAAAACGCCATGGTGATTAGTTAGGCTTGTCGACGCTGCCAGAGGGCAGGTGGTCAGGCTGCACCTATTGCTACTGTCTCATCGACGGCGAAATACACTAGACACGCCAATAATACTACTTGGGAAATGAGATGCAGTGCGCCGGGGGGGCATGGCAAGCACACACCAGCAGTGCAGAAAAGATGAGAAGTACATGACTAAAAGCGGGCCAAGCTTGCCGCGAAACAAAACATCCCGCTTGCCAGAACACGATTGATTCGGACCGGATTCTCCGGACCGGTCTCGGACCGTTTCCCTCCCTCACGCAGTCATCAACCGCAGCACGTGCCGCAAGGGGCCAATTTCCAACCAACCCTCCTGTGCCCTCCTCCTCTTTTCCCCTACAACCCTCCATCTCTTCCTCCTTCTCCTCTGCGTGACACGAGAGGCCACCGCTGTTTCCCCCCTCCTTCTATTCTTCCTCTCCCCTATAACCCTTCCCACACACACGAAAAACCGCCAGCCTACCTGCCTGCCTGCCTCGAGAGCGACCGCACCTCCCCGATGCACCCCCCTACAACTCCCACACACACGAGACGCCTGTCCGTCTAGAGCGCGCACCTGCCCCATGAACTCCCTCCCCCCCGCCCCGGGGAGGCTGGCGAGGCAGAACCTCTTGTCCTCCTTGGTGCCCATCTGACGCCACCCGGGGCCACCGCCGCTGCCGTCGCCGCCGCCGCCGCGCCCCCCGTTAGCTTGTTGGCTCTCCCGCATGCCCGTGAACTGGATGCCGTAAGGCACGTTGAGCCCCGGCACCAACGCTTCAACGGAACTGCCGACGACGATTTGTTATTTTAACGAGGATGACGACGATAGGACCAACAGAAAAAAATCGAGGGAAGGAAGGAGAGCGGCGGCAGTGGTGACGAGGAGAAACAGCAAACAGAAAGAAAACCGGATTAAGACTCGTCTGCATGTCGTGTCCTCCAAGACAGTACAATATACTCAAGAGTGTTCCTTGCCCCCCACAGACAGTCGCGGTGAAGAAAAAAGAAAGACAAACCGGGTCGAGGCTCGTCTGCATGTATGTCCAAGACAAAGAATAACCAGCAGGATGTTCAAGATTGTCCCCCCTCATGGACAATAGTTGCAGCAGTGACCCACAAGAAAAGAGAGAAATCCGGGGTAGGCTCTGCATGCCGAAGACAGTGAAGAAGCAGCAGGCTATTCAAGAGGTTCCCCCCCACAGACAGGTGATTCGAGGCAACAAGGCCAGCATCATGCGCTAGACTTCAACCTGGAAAGAGGGTTGCGGTGGGTCTTTTCAACACCGCGTCCCCAACCTCATGCTAGCCATTCAAGCCCAAACGGCCATAGCAAAGCTATTAATAGGGGAAAAGAGCACAGCCCATACCGAACGCCGCGGATAGTTAAGGCACGGATGGATCCCAGCAGTGCCACACCTGGCGTTCTTAACGTGCACACCCAAGGCCTCGTTGTCCACCGCAGGGCCGGACTTGGCCCCTTCGTGCAGGGTGGCCAGCGCCATGTAGGGCTTGGCCACCCACCCTTGCCCGTAGCACCTGTCAGGACGGACGGCAGCAGCAGCACGCTAGATAAAAAAGTTGGTACAGCAGTGGTAGTACGTCCAAAGAGGAGGGCACAGCGTTGGTCGAGACTATGTATAGTACAATGACACACTTACGCATTTGCAACGTCATGTTCTTCTTTTTGGATCCGATATATATTTACCTACAAGTGTGCATCGGGAGATGTTTCCCCCCCCATGACCCATGACCGGGTGGGTCTGCCGATGTCCACACACACGCCTTTCATGGGCACGTCTTCACGGAGGAGGTGCAACATGCAACATATGTCATCGTCCAAGCCACGCCGAATTTCTCTCTTCTACCATTGCACCGACAAATCCGCACAACCAATCATTGACGGCCTTGTAAACTGCCGCAATAGTTATGTGTCGTATTGTATTCCACAAGCCCTACCAAGTAGTACACGATAGAGCACGTACCCGCGGACGGCAGTGTCTACGTTGTTCTGGCACACACACACACACCCCATTCCCGCCAGCAGAGACAAATCGCGGACCCCCGACCCCCGGGCGTCCTCGTCTGTTCCACGTCGGTGTTGGAGGAGCGGGAGCCGCCCAGTTGGTGGTACTGTACCGCCCGCAGTATCCAAAGCACGAGCACTCGTAGCGTGTCACCCGTACTACTACTACTACTACTACTACTACTATCACTACTACTGCCCAAGGCTTCCCACCACACACGAAACACTTTGTCACCCGTAATGCTACCATTGCCCAAGACATCCCACCACGCACACACAAACACACGAGCAGCCTATCACTCACGGCACTACTACTGCCCCAAGGCATCCATCCCAACACACACGCAACACACGAGCTCACCTCTGCATTCCCTTCTGGTAGTTCGGCGCCAGTATCGCGTCCACGAAGGGGGAGCATATCTGGAAGCTCTTCTGGCAGAAGGGTTTCGTGTGCACCGAGAAGGCGTGCTCCACAAGGTGTGGGTGCGTCTTTATACCCCCGAACTGGCCCTAAACACGGCCAGCGAGAGGCACGAACACGGAGACGAGAAGGGCACAGGCATGTTTGAATCATGTGTGGTTCGTCCATGCGTCTCTAGAAGGGGGCAGATATCCTTGAATCATGATTGGTTTGAAGAAATGCGTATCTCTCCTGTTGGAAGTATTAATTTCATTCCACAAACATAAAATCATCCCCCCCCCAAAAAAAAACGAAGTATACTACCACCTTGCGCCTGCTGTGTCCGCGTGGTACTCGCCAAAGATCCATGGGATCTGTCTCGACCGGACGCGCAGCTTCCTCTAGATACACAGCTACAGAGTCTTTACGCGGGCGTGACGATCACTGGAAGGACTTGACGGAGGCATCCCCGTGACAACGAGCCAACAGCAACTTGCAAGAGCAATACCCGCCAAAGCAACAAGCGTAATAGCCAAACGGCCGATCAGCTTCGACCCGACCCGATTCACATAACCGGGCAGTCGTCGTGGGTACGACAACACCGGCAGAGCATGCACACGGGCGGACGAAGCGTAGGAACATCAACGAAAATCATCCCCTCACACTTTTCGGTCGGCTACCCTCCCTCGGAGCAATGCCCCGTCCTCTCGAGGACGTCGGATCAATGTGGTCGAACAACTAAGGCACGCAAAACATTGGTGTACGCCTACCCCCCCCCCCCCCCCCCCTTTTGCACCTGGAAAACCCAGCCGGGGTCGGGGCCCTTGGGGAACATTTTCCGGGGCAGGCGGCTGGACCCCCCCGGGGGGAACAGCTTCCGAACTCGGTTTATCCCCCTCCCACCCCCGGCCGAATCCAAACACCTGAGAAACGAGCGGACCCCGGGAAAAAACCCCAACAATAAAAAC